ATGCAATACCAAATCAGGAAGCTACAACTGTAGCTTCGGCTATTAGCGACTTCTTCTTCAGATTTGGTATGTCATATGAACTGCATTCAGATCAAGGCCGTAACTTTGAATGAATCAGCTGTGTTTCAAGAATGCTGCAAGTTGTTTGGCATACGAAAGACCAGAACAACGCCACTTCACCCACAGTCTGATGGGATGGTAGAAAAGTACAACTGGACATTGGGACAGGAATTGGCAAAGTTTTGTAATAGCCGTCAAGATGACTGGGATGTCTTACTCCCTCCACTGTTGATAACCTATAGGACAGCAGAGTATGAAGCCACTGGATACACTCTAGCAAAGTTGATGTTTGCCAGTGGATCTGTTAACAGGACGCCCACCTTATGAAGAGTTACCCGAAAATGTGTCAGAGTTTGTGAAAGTATTATCGGAAAGGATGGATGATATTTACTATCAAGTGCGTTCAAACTTGAAAACGTCTACTGATTCGATGAAGCTATGTTATGATAAGAGATCTACTGAAGTCAGCTTTGTACCAGGAGATAAGGTGTGGTTATATAATCCCAGGAAGACCAAAGGAAAGTCTCCTAAGTTGTCTTCTCCATGGGAAGGCCCATATGACATATTGGATCGTCTCTCAGACATGACTTTCCAGATAAAATGTGGTCGACTAGGTAAGCCAAAGGTGGTGCATGCCAACAGGCTTTGGCGTTATCGTGGTCCAGGACATTTCAGTTGGGACGAAGTGAACAACAGAACAAATGACGCTGCTCAAGACGTGTCACCTGAAAAAAGCCACTGTCGAAGAAGAAACTCTACTCGGTTTTGAGAAGGGAAACAGTGAAGCCCTTAATGAAGTTACTACAACTGATGTGACTGTTACCGATGATAGGACATTTCCTGATGAAGCAGATGAACCCCACATGAAGCAGAAGCCAACGAGACAGAGACCAGTACGGAAGAAGATACATCCCGTAAAATTAAGAGATTTTGTTGAATTTTAATGTTGTGTTTGTAAATTTTGTACATTTAATTAATTTATTGTTAATTGTTTATTGGTTTAATGTAAGTGGCTATTGTTTGGGACGAACAATACTAAGGAAGGGGCAGTGTTACAACAGCGGTAGTCACGTGACGCTGGTTACACGTCATGATATTCTAGAGATTCACAAAGAAACGAGATGTACGCGGTTTATATATATAAATAAGACCGCCAAGAAGTGACGGCAACAAT